AAACCAGCGCAGATACCTTGGCCACTTGTCTGAGGGTGGTGACTGGAAGTCTACTTAGCCTCAGCTCCCTGGAGTCTGCAGAAGTTCCGAGAGATGAGGTAAATTGGGTCCCCTGGTCTGTGATCACCTCCAAGGGCACCAAACAAACCTGCACTGCATGATGGGATAGAGCTTCCACAATTTGCTTGGCAGAGGGCAACTGGGACAGAGGAATGACTTGAACAGCCAAGCTAAAACTATCAATGACAGACGTGATAACAGTGTGACCCGAGGAGACAGGGAGTCCAGTAACAAAGTCAATGGCAATATGAATCCAAGGTCAGGAGGCGCAGAAAGCAGCTGCAATAGATTCCTGGTCGGTGGGCATAGCAACAGGGGTCTCAGCATTTTTTTTTAAATTACACTTGCTCCATTGTACCTGTTAGTCCACTGTATCAAGTACTCCACTGTACCCGTTACCACACATTGTCAGGTATTCCACTGTATATGTTACTACACTCTGTCACAAACTTCACTGTGCCTGTTATTATACTGTATCTGCTGAACCATAGGACATATGGACAGAAGCGGTTGAAGCCCATGTGGCACCCCAGGCAAGCTTTACTGTTCCCGCCCCTCCACCAAGCTGTCGATAAAAGTTTCTGCAGTTTGGTGATGGTTTGCTGCCCCCTTGAACGTTGCCACCCCTGGGCAGTTGCCCATATTTCCTCTGCCCAGGCCTGCAATAGCACATGGTATCATTATATTTCAGCTGCTTACACTGTTCAGGTTGGTGTCAAACATGTTCAATGGATAGTAACTACAATGAGGATAGTGTAAGTTTCCTCTGCTGCCACCATGTGTTTTAAAGTGGTACTGCTATGTGCATCAAATGTTATGTGCAGTCATACTGATGATAATAATAATAATAATAATAATAATTTTTTATTGATCCCTTTTTGGGAAATTCTCCTTTCACCTACCCCATCTAGCTCTCCATAACACACACGCAGGTGAGCGCAAGCTTGGCAGTGAAGGGCAGCCAGCTGCAGCAGAGCCCATTGAGCTGGGGGTTAAGACCGTTGCTGAAGGTCCCACAGAGAGATTATTCTGCTGAGTTTGGGACTCAAACCAGCAACCTTCTGATCACAGGCATGGAGGTTCAGCCTGCTGAGCCACACAGTGGCCCCAAGTTGCAGACCGCCACCCCCAGTTTCTCTGTGTGGAGTTTGCATGCTCTCCCTGCGTTCTGTGTATTTCTGGGTACACTGCTGCTTGTGTGTACAGTATGTGTCCATCCAGACTGTATCTGTGCCGCATGCTTCCCAGGATATGCTCCACCTTGGGTGACCCCACACACACACACACACACACACACACACACACAGAGGAGAGGGTTATTCATTGAGCTCCCCTAGCTTACACATGATTACTGGCTGCTGCATTTCTTATATAATTTCTTATATATATATATTATATATATATATATTTATATATTTCTTATAATGGTAGAAGGTAAACCAGAATATTGACAGGCACATTACATTTTTTTTTATTGAATACTTGATTAGACAGAAACTTTCCCCCAGAACGGGCATGATGTAAATGGAAAAACCATTACTGGCTGCCACATGGCAGAGCGGCATGGTGGAAGATGTTATGAGGCACGCAGCTATCAACTAACACGAACTGCTCCGTCACTGTGTTACACTGGACCATTATAACACAGCTTATCGCCATGGTGATGCTGACCTCACCTGAGACTGCTCCAAGAGTCATTCTGTGCCCAGAGGTAATCCAGGCCTGCATGCGGGAATCCAGGCCTGCATGCGAGAATCCAGGCCTGCATGCGGGAATCCAGGCCTGCATGCGAGAATCCAGGCCTGCATGCGGGAATCCAGCCCTGCATGCGGGAATAAAGGCCTGCATGTGTGCACAATCCACACGCAAAGCCAGGAATCAGCAGCACAGGCGTGGAGGCGCTGCCCACTGAGCCCCTGTAGCACCCTGAGAATGAATAATTTTCATAAATAAGAAAAAGGCAGATATTGCATAATCAGCTGCACTGCATTTCCGACACATATGCGATAAATTAACGCAACATTGATGCATTTTATTCTGTTTTTGGAATGTATAATTTTTTTAAATATTCTGAGACCTCGGTTGCTATACCAGAGAACTTTATATGTGGCTGTCAAGAATCGTGTGTCAGCGTCTGAGGTAGATTACAAGGGGGCCTGATTTTCCAATATGGACTTGAAGCTGGGGGGGAGACGCTGAATGCGGTTGTTAATCTTCAGTGACGTGTGAGGGTTCAGCTTTTCTTCCTGCCGTGAAACAGGTTATGAACAGATTCTTATCCTTTTAATTTCCTTCACATTATGTCTGACAGGGCAGCATTATCTAGTGGCAGCAACTGCATGCACACTTTGTATTGTGGGTGTGTGTGTGTGGCCATCGAAGGGGGACACAGACCCCTGCAGATTCACGGGCAGTTGGGAATCAACTATTGGGGTCCCATGCTGGGCAAAACCTACCAGGGGGACCCCCCCCCCACCTCCCCCAACCACTCTGTAAATTCTATCTACTGTGGGACCCGTATTTCTTCAGTTTGAAAGTGCCAGCTGGAGCTGTAGGGTCCAGGTGACATTTTGTCCTGAAGTCCAGATATTCTAATTACACCCCTGGTGTGCACACATATATGTATATATTTATCTGTGCTGAGGGAACAAGAAATAAACTGGTGATGTCCTCTAAGACCAGCTTACTTTTTACAACTTATTTTTAGAAAAAAGAACTATTTTTATTTTCAGCATTTTTAGTTTAGGGTGGGATCACTACTTAAAATAAAATGGGAACCAATGAAAAGTACTGAGAAGCAGAGTGATATTTTGTCTGTGTGCATGTGCATTATCACACTGCATGTTTGGTGTGTGTTTCTGTTATGGGTTTTACTGGGTGCTCTGGGCTGCCTATGACCCTGACCTTCTCCTACACAGTTATGCATGGTGATTGAAGCCACTTTTCATGTTTTTTTCATGAGTTTCCAAGTTGCTCTTTCACAATGGAGGTCATGTGACACATTCCCATAGATTCCTCTAATCAGCCGAGGCCGAAGGAGTCGAAAGCCACCAGAGTCTGCACTGGGCAAGCTAAAATGGTCCTGCGTTTATCGCTATAAAAACTGAAGTAACTGTTGCTCTTGAGAACACAGTATCTCCCTTCATCTGTACCCATCTCCCGCTCTTGTATGTTCAGCATGGGATCTGTTTTGTAAGAACGCTGATAGGAGCTGCAACTCTTTGTGCTGTAGATGCCATAGAGATGCTTCAGTGCTTGATGTTAGCGTCGGTGCCTCATTCAGCAGGTCCTTGCACATGCTGAAGGTTCCAGCAAATGGAGAGAGAGCATTAGCACATGTACACGGATCTACAACGTTATCTGATACATCAAGAACAAAGGGTAGAATCCAGAGTGATTTGCGCAGAACAGAAAGGACCTATGGAATATGAAAACTAGCAAGCAGAAGCCTTGAATGGTAAATGAAGGAGAGGGAGAAGGAGAATTCAAAGCAATGGGCTGGAATTTATAATGCAGGGAGAATGCTTATTGACAGGGGGTTTTGACAAACCATGGAAAATGATATCTTACTCACAAAGGTCTATAATACCAACGAACACATAGGAATCGAGACTGCAGGGAGAATCCCAGTGAAGCACAGTGATCTAGACAGGACAGGCCAGGAAGGAAGGAAGGCACATCAAATTCCATATTAATTAGTGAGTGGGTGTCAACACCACAAATAGAATAGAGCCACCAAGATTTAAGCTGTCATAGCCTTACAAGGCAGGACAGACCGTTCCCATAAGCTACGCTACATTCAACAGTGATAGAGAGATATGCTGTTTGTCTAGTGATGGGCTTCAAGCCTCTTTCTATTCCAGGAAGTGACATAAATGAGACACATTGTGCTAGGTGCTGTTATAAGCAGTTTGGTGTATCTGACCATGGGCATCGCTACGCCACTATCTGAGGTGGAGGGTCCAATGGATCGGGTTGTTAGCATAATTCCTTCGTTTATGTACGAAGTTGGCATTTTTAATTTTTTCCCCTCAGTATACCTACCATGGCTGCCCATTGATTTATCATGTCTGATTTTCAGTTTGCAATGTATTTCAAAATTTTTACACATTTCCGTGTTGAACCCCACCCCTGCCTAGCTTATTTAAATTTCGGATGCCCCCCCGATAAACCTGATTAGCTGTGCCTTTTGTTACTAAGTTCACCCACCTGCATAAAGCATAACACTTTCATTTCGGCAGCCCGCCTGCACTGATGGTACTCGCATCCCTGCGATAGCATGAGGGCTAACAGACAAGTGACAGCGCAGTGGATTGGTTTCAGTGTGAGGAGGAGCGATCCAGGCGGCATGGTAGGCTAAGCCTCATGGCGTGAGGAGAGAAAAGGAGAGCAGTGCCTCTATTCTGTGTCCAATGCCCAGGAAGTTCAGAAGGCAGGTAGGGCAGTGTTTTAGACAGCTCAGGATGAGACGGCAATGTCTGGGTACCCACAGTGAGATGCACATACAGTGATGAGCAATAGGTGAATTTCTTAGGTATTATGGAGCCTATATCTGTGCACCCTGCTTGCTGTAACCCACAGGTAGGTAATCCTGACAGCAGATGTAGGTATATCTTTGAGAGAGAGTAAGATGGCTTTTAGAAACAAGCGAGACCCGCCAAGTGAGAGGGCAATAAAACGGAGCAGAGAGTGGTGGAACTGAGGTGGCTATGAACTAATTAGTTACAGAATATTTACGGTAATATGGGAAGCCCACGGAGGGCTCAGATAATAAATCATACTTTATATTTTGTCATAGTTCACACCATTGTATAATGTTCTCAAAAATTCTTTCGAATTATTAGATTAAGCCTTTCCAAATGTTTTTCATGGCAAAAACATAACTCCTCCGGTCCAGAGGGGGCTCTATACTTACGAGCCGAGGAGTGCTGTCTGTGATCGTCATAGGAAGCGCTGTAGTTCGTACAGGATAGCGTCCATGTGAGTTAACTACACTCCACACGCGTTATCTGTCAACCAGTCAACTAGCAAGCACTGAAAATGGGTAAGAAAAATAAAAAAGAAAAGAAAGTGAAAGGAGCGGAAAAGACCGCTGCCAAAATGGAAAAGAAGGTTTCCAAGAGATCCAAGAAAGATGAGGCAAGTGATATCTAGTTATTTAACTAGTTAGCTTGGTAGCTGCATGTTATTTATTTTTGCTGGAGTTAATTGTAAATTGGTAAGTCGACGGGCTGAGTGAAATGGCAAGATTTATCGGTAAATGCACAGTTTTTAGCGACAAGATAGCTGATTTAATTTTGGAGCTGATCGCATAGCGATTTACTTTTACACGTCCGTGGGATGGCGCTACACAAAACAAGCCACACAGCTCAGTGTTTTTGCTACGGCATTTCAGGTGAAGCACCTCACACTGTAGTAGCGCCCCCTACTGGGACTCGACCCACCTGTGTCGTTAACTCTTGCGCTACCTCCTGGATGTCGTGTGTTACAGGAAGATCTGGAGGCACTGATCGCAGAGTTCCAGTCCCTGGATGCGAAGAAGACGCAAGTTGTAGAAACCGTTTGCCCACCACCTTCGCCCAGGTAAGTATGATGGAGTGCAGAGAATGATAACTTTACTGTATGTGGAATCGGAGACTACCACATTTAAGTGGCTAATGATATGGAATATTTTTTTACGGTTTCCCCCCAAATAATATATTTAAAAAGCTGTTTCCTATACGCACATTGCATTTCTGAAATGTTTCCAAGATTTTAAAAAAAGACCAGAGAAACATCTGGGATCTAACTCTATGTCCAGAGCGGTTACTCATTAAACTGAAGCTCTGTGTTGCACATCTGTCCCCCTCAACCCCCAGGTTGAACGCATCACTATCCGCCCACCCTGAAAAGGATGAGCTGATCCTGTTTGGGGGTGAATTTTACAATGGGAAGAAGGTGAGTTTTGAGTGAGAGCATGTTCTCAAGGATGCTGTGCACTGGCTCTGAGCGCCCCCTCCTGGCTTTCTCTATAATCACACATGGGACCCACATCCCAGGTTCACATTTACAGCTAGAAGGATGTGGCCTTTGTTTGTAAACAGAAGGCTCGTAAACACACTGGGCTGCTGCTGGGTATCCAGGAGGAATGAAGGCTTGGCAGGTGATTAAAGGGCTCTTGTTTTCTGTCTCCTCCCAGACCTTCCTGTACAACGACCTCTTCTTTTATAACATCAAGAAGAATACCTGGGTGAAGTCTGACATCCCCAATCCCCCTCCACGCCGCTGTGCTCACCAGGTACCTTTCACGCCTCCCCTCCCCTCCCATTTGTATTGTGTAGCTGTATTTCAGTGGCTGGCCTTGCAGTGTCTGAACTGGCAGGCAGCCCAGTCAAGTGTCATTTTCACCTATGTCCACTAGAGGGCTGGATTTTCTTTCAGCATGTAAATATAGACGCTCCTCTACTTACAGTACAAATGAGATACATTCCGAACAGGCGTTCGTAACTTGAAATGTTCGTAAGTTGTTATTCAGCATTATTTTAAGGGCATACGCAAGTACAAAGAACTAGGATGCTGGGAGTACGTACACTACGCTGCTGCGCGGATGTTGCGGACAGGAAATGGGAGCCCGATGAACACAATTTGGACTTACAGTCCTCTTCATTCATATGTCTGAAAGTTCGTAAGTTGAAAGTTCATAAGTAGAGGAGCTTCTGTATACTTCAGCGTTCTCAAGTATTAAAATTAATTCACCTGACCCCCACTCTGCACACACACCTTTGTGCTTAAAAAAAGCACTAATATCACAGCTGGTGTGCTTAAGCCTTTTGCTTTCTATATTTTCAAGTTGTGAATAGGAATAACGTACAGTTCCCTGTGCAGTATCAACGGCCTGCTGCTTTGTAGGAGGCCTTGCCCTCGGCTCAGCGTGAAGCCCTTAGCGGTCTCCTGTCCCACCCCCCCTGCCCTCCTTCACCTGCCCAGATGATCCCATCCTGTCTGTGCCATGAATGTATGGGCTCTGCCTCTGCAGGCGGTGGTTGTTCCTCAGGCTGGGGGGCAGCTGTGGGTCTTTGGGGGCGAGTTTGCTTCACCTGATGGAGAGCAGTTCTACCACTATAAGGACTTGTGGGTGCTTCACCTGAACACACACGTCTGGGAGCAAGTCAAGTAAGTGTGTGTGTGTGTGTGCGTGTGTGTGTGTGTGTGTGTGTGTGCGTGTGTGTGTGGGGCAGCCTGTGGATCTGCTGTAGCCTTTGGAAGCCCCTTCCATTGGAATGCTGACATTCTGCTGTGCCAGCCTATTCTCACTGTATTTAGAGGCATTTGTGGCATATCGATTCTGACCAAAAGCAGTCAAAAATGAAATGGCAATAGAGTTTCAGCATGATGAGGGAGCAGATGGATGATGTCTTTGACTTTTATCCCCGCATTTTTATGAGCGGCCTCCTCGTTCCACCGTGGCATAGAAATATTGAAGTAGAGTATGTCTGAGTATTGTCAGTTAGTATGCAGTCTGAGTGGATGTGTGTTTATGTCTGTGTGTGGTGTATCTGTGTGCTTACGCATGCTGTTAACTACGTGCAATGCTGTACTGTGTTTCCAGGGTCCCTGGCGCCCCCTCTGGCCGCAGTGGGCACCGCATGGTCCTGAGCAAGAGGCAGCTCCTGATTTTTGGAGGCTTCCATGAGAGCACGAGGTGAGGGTAGGGAGAGAGCTCCGGGTGGAGGGAGAGCGCTGGGTGGGGGTGGGGGGAGAAATCACGCTCTTTATTAACAATCCTTAACCCTTGTATTGTTGTTGTTGTTAATGTTAATGGTTGCGTTTCCCTATTGTCGCGTGTGTGTTTGTCCCTGTCTTGTATGTACACGGTCCGATCGTTGCATGTATTTAGCGTGTGTAAATCTTCCTTCGTGTGTGCATCTTGCAGTTCGGCGTCTGACAACCTTGTGTTTCCCGTCTGTATATTTGGGTTCGGTGCTCGTTGGGTGCCTTTTGTGGTCCTTCTATTTACAATCGCACGCGGGGCATGCTGGGACATGCGCCCCGCTGGTGCTGCGCTAGGATAAAAAAAGGAATCTGGTCACGGAATCTGTTTGTCAACCAAATTTTGTACGTGAACCAATGCATTTTTTTCAGTAAATTTTGGGTTGTGAACCAAATTGTTCGTAGACCACAGCGTTCGTGAGCCGCAGGCACCACTGTATTATGAAATGAGAATGGGTCGGCAGGCTGATCTGCTATCCCAGGACCCCCAGGCTGTTGTACATGTTAGTAGTTACATATCCTCAGTCACTCCAGGAACCGATCTTGTATAAATGAGTTATAATTATAAGTCTCTTCGGGTAACATTGTAAGGTGACCAACAAAATATGGGGGATTGGCTAGCAGCAGGTAGTCTTATTGGCACAGACCTCCAGTGTTGCAGGTTCAAGCCTAACCCCGGCGGTGTGTTTCGGTGGTTTGTGTTCTCCCGCTGTGTTTGTGTGGGCTTACTCCATGCTGGATTGTTGACTCTAAATAGATATTTGCGTGAAAATGTATGTTTATATGTGCAGCATCTTGTCATTGGAGTAACCCGGCCTTATGGCGCTTTTCCACTGTTACCAAATACCGAGCCGGGCCCGACCCAGACCTGCACTTGAAAATTTCCAACCTCCTACTTGAAAAAATACTATACAGCAGCAGAACGGAATGGTTTTGTAATGCAGATATACGCTATTGAATGCTAATTCCGCTATTGTTTCATACTCGCATAACATGGCAGTTCTCACAGACGTGCTAGTGGAAATTAGCACGCCATAGAAAAATAATAATAATAACTGTACATAGTAAATCGTGAAGTACACAGTGTGAACCGTAAATAAGCGTCTCTTCAGTTTTATGTCACTATCGCTGTCCAAACCCAGCAAGGCCCTTACCGAGGCGACCCTCCTGCAGTGGAAAACCGAAATGAACTGGAACCGAGCTGTAAATCATTTCTAATTGCGGTACGGCTCGGCTCCTGTATGCCAATGGAAAAGTGCCATTACTCGCCATTCTTTCTGGGACAGACACTCAGTCACTGCAGCCCTGAGAATAATAGCTAACTGAAAGCGCTATGCCAGATGAATGTGCCAGCCTCAGTCTCTGCCCCGTTCCAGTCCCCCACATCACCTGTATCTGTATACTTCTGTTCGGCCATCTTCATTGATGCCACGACTTGTTGCATTTTGCTTAAGGGATTATATTTACTACAATGATGTTCACACCTTCAACCTGGACACCTTCACTTGGAGTCGCCTGTCCCCCACGGGCACCCCCCCCTCACCCCGATCCGCCTGCGCCCTAACCCCGTCTCCTGATGGCAGCTGCGTCGTCGTCTATGGTGGCTACTCCAAACTGGTGAGGTGCCATTTCCTTTGCCTGTGAGTCTCTGGGGTAGCAGGGGAGCTGGGGGCTGAATAGTGCCCCCCCCTCAGGCAGTGAGAACTTGACATTCTCTTTGTAGTCAGATTTCAATGTGGTTTTTTGGTTCCCAATGTATTTCAGTACTGATTTATTTTCCTGCACACTGCAGCACAATCACCATTTTTGTTTAACCGGGTGCTAATTGCACATCCTCCTTCCCAGAATGCCTCAGTCCACCGAGAGCTTCATATAGATAAGTGCAGACAAATATTATCTGTAATGTGCTGAGATATGGGACATTATCTTGATTTATTATGTGCAGATTTCTCCTGTCAGTCAGAGGCCGGGGGTGTTCAGCTGTCTGACAGGATGATGGAGCTTCTCCACTTGTTTTAGACGTGTCGCTCTCAAAGTGTGGCTTCTGGCTGAGCCCTGTGCGAGTGTCAGCCAGTGGATGCGGGAGGATCCCAGTCCGTATCCGCCACTGCATCTGGCCCCGTTACACGTCCTCATTACTGTCAGGGAAAGCCTCCCATTTGGCCTGAGCAGTTCTGACTTTTTCTCCAATGGAAGTTCGAAGTAGGACTCCCATGTTCACTGATGTACACTGAAGCTGGGAATGGGACATTCATGCCCACTGATACACACTGAAGCTGGGAATGTGACACTCATGCTCATTAATACACATCAAAGCTGGGAGTAGCACACTCATGCTTAGTAATGCACACTGAAGCTGGGAATGTGACACTCGTGTTCATTAATGTACACCGAAGCTGGGAGTGGCACACTCGTGCTCATTAATGCACACTGAAACTTGGAGTGGCACATCTTGCTCATTAATGTACACCGAAGCTGGGAATGGAACACTCGTGCTCATTATTGCACACTGAAGCTGGGAGTAGCACACTCGTGCTCATTAATACACACTGAAGCTGGGAGTGGCACACTCGTGCTCATTAATACACACTGAAGCTGGGAATGGAACACTCGTGCTCATTATTGCACACTGAAGCTGGGAGTAGCACACTCAAGTAAACACGACTGAGGTCTTGGGCTGGTCTGACCCTGCACACACTTCACTATGGCAGCCGTGTAAATGTGGCCACTTCATGGGCTCTGGGATGCAGAGCCTGTTTGAGATGCTATAAATCTGCTTGCAAACACAACACAGACTGACCAGGGCAGGAGGGGGAGCAGGGTGTTGCCTGGCAACAGCAGGTCTGGGAAGGGGAATGAAGCATAGTGAGATTTTCAGGATTGAGAGCAGGAAGGTGGTGCCTAGAAATGCAGAAACACACCCCACCTTGTCAGGAAGCTGCCTGACCCTTAGACAGAGAAGCTTTATAGCTACGAAAGGCAGTTCAGTCTCTGGAGCCCAAGGGTCTGTGTTCTGGTGGCTCAGGCTCACTTTCACCAGGCCTAGCATTACTTGGTAGGTTGTGTGTTGTGCCCTGATGGACATTTTCATCCCCAGAAAGCCAAGAAGGATGTGGACAAAGGCAGCATTCACTCTGACATGTTTCTGCTGAAGAGAGAGGGCATTGAGGACCAAGGTAACGCATCACAAACGTGTCTGTCTCTCTCTCCCTGTCCCTGTCTCTCTGCCTGCCTGTTCTTCTCTGTCTGACTGCCTGTCTCTTGCTGGCTTTACCTACCCATCTCTCTGCCTATCCCTGTCCCTCTGCCTGCCCATCTGTCTTTTTGCCTGTCACTGTTTATCTGTGCCTGTGTCTTTCTGCCAGTCCCTGTCTCTCTCCATGCCCATCCCTCTATCTCTGCCTGTCTCTCTCTGCTTGCCTGTCCCTCTCTCTTTCTCTCTTCCTGTCTCTCTCTCTGCCTGCCTGTGTCTGTCTCTCGCACTCCCTTTGGCTTCCTGCTCTCCTATCTGTCTGTCTGCCTGTCTCTGCCTGCCTGTTCCTCTCTGTCTCTCTGCCTGTCTTTCACTCTCTGCATGTCGCTCTGCCTCTCCCTGTCTCTGCTTCTCTGTCCCTCTCTCTTTCTCTCTGCCTGTTTCTCTCTCTGCCCGCCTGTGTCTCTCTCTCACACTACCTCTGGCGCTCCCTGTCTGTCAGTCTGTCTTCCTGTCCCTCTTTCTCTGCCTGCTTTTCTCCACTTGCCTGTTTAAATTGTACTTTCCAAAATCAAACCACATGTTTGCATTATCCATTCTAAAAGAACTCGCCATTTTGCTCCAGCAGAGAAGTGGGTGTGGTCTCGTGTGAGTCCATCGGGTATGAAACCCAACCCCCGCTCTGGGTTCTCACTGGCCTTGGCCCCAGGAAACCGCTTTTTGCTGTTTGGGGGAGTGTGCGATGAGGAAGAGGAGGAGACGCTGGAAGGAGACTTCTACAATGACCTGTACCAGTACGACCTTGGCAAGAACCGCTGGTTCTCTCTCCAGCTCAAGGTACCTGTGTGGGCCAGAGTGTGTGTGACTGTGCACGGACTGGCCTGTTACTAGAGTGGTTAATGGCTGCGTTGTTTTACATTTTTTTTCTCCTCTTGCATTCCCCATTAGCTGCTGTTTTGATATTCCAATTCTCAGTTAAGATTACGATTAAGATTGATTTTATTCACCCCAGGGGGAAATACAGCATACAGTAGTAACCATGCCGCGCACAGATGAACATGCATGTAGTGCCAAACAGACAAAGACGGTATGCACAGTGCAAACAAATAGAAGTGGTGCGGACAATTTTAAAAACGCACATAGTACACAAAAAGAATACCCTGAAAACAGAATATTGTAGTATAATATATAAGTATACAGTGGTACCTCAGTTCCCGAACTCATTAGAACTCGAATTTCTTAAAAGTCGAACCAAGCAGTTCGAAAAAAAATGACCTAGAACTCGATTTGAATCTCAGAAGTCGAATCGTGAATGCCGACCTAAGATAACTTGTACGCGCGGGGAAATGAGTCACGCGGCACATTGATAGACAGTAACAGTAATTATTGTTATATAATAAAATACATTTAAAAATAAAGATTTCTTATTCATTATTTTAATATCATTAATAATAAACCATTAATATATTTAATTATAATAATATTGTTGTGCTGAGCGGGGACGGAACAGAGACAAATTCGCAGACGTCAGGGTATCGGGGAATACGGGGTTTAATTACAGGTAAGGCAGGCAAAACGCAGACGGACAATACAATGACCGGACTGGGGAAACAGACTGAAACGCAGACTAAATACAGTGGACTAATGACAACAACCAGAAACAGCTGATCACATGGGGATTCCACAAGGGGTTAACTAGAGGGCGTGGCACACGGAAGGAGCGGACGATCGGGGCAGGACACATTTTTTTTTAACTTTACACATTGTTTGCATACATTTATTTTCTTGTTTTACAAATTACTGTTTTGATAAATGTGCTTAGATGTGTTTAGTACAGTATATGCTCTTCTTGTTTTATTCTGTTCATTTTGTGTTTAAATGCTAAAAAAAAACAAAATTACACCTAAATGTGTTTTTCTTCGGGCTTGGAACCAATTAATTGGTTTTCCATAATTTCTGTGTGCCATGCGATGGACTGGCATCCTGTCCAGGGTGTCCTGCTTGTGTGCCATGCGATGGACTGGCATCCTGTCCAGGGTGTCCCGCTTGTGTGCCATGCGATGGACTGGCATCCTGTCCAGGGTGTCCCCCTTGTGTGCCATGCGATGGACTGGCATCCTGTCCAGGGTGTCCCGCTTGTGTGAGATGCGATGGAATAGCATCCTGTTTGGTGTGTGTGTGTATCAGAGTGATTAAGCTATGAAAATGGAAAGCCACAGATGTGTGGCTGACCTGGCATTTGTAGGCTTGGGTGTATCTGGTTGCCTGTCTTGTCATAGTCATGTTTGGTCTTGCAGGGCTCCAAGTCAGAAAAGAAAAAGCGTCGCCGTGGGAAGAAGGAGCAGGGGGTGTCGGAGGGGCATGGGAGCAAGGAGGGCAAAGAAGCAGAGGAGCTGGAGCAGCATGGCCCCGTGGAAGTGGTCAAGGAGATTGTGGCTGATGATGGGACAGTGATGACAATCAAGGAGGTCATTCCTGGCACTCTGGTGGAGGAGGAAAGCGAGGAGGAAGAGGAGGAGGAAGAGGCCACAGTCGCACCCATGGAGCCCTGCCCCCGGTCCAGTGGCATGGCTGCTGTCAAGCATGGGAAACTCTACCTGTACGGTGGCATGTTTGAGGTGGGTGACCGGCAGTTCACCCTCGGCGACCTCTATGCCCTCGACCTCCACAAGATGGACCAGTGGGAAGTGCTGGTGGAGATGGACCCCAGTGAGTGTTCCTTTCTCTGTTCATTGGCGTGTGTTTGGTATGTCATTATATGAGTTTAAAGTTAGCTGTCATGGAGGCCCATCCGTTAGTTAGCCCAGTGTGATGAGTGAAGTGCCTCAGGGTTCTGTGTTTGGGCCCTTACACATTCTCACCTACATATTCGGCACTGAATTTCACTATGAGTATTTACATATATGTTGAATTGAATAGGTGGTACAGTTGGTTGTTAAAAGACCGGAATGAAATGGTGAAGAGGCCAAAATTTAACATAACTAGGATGAAATCAATTCTCTGTGTGTTATACAGGATGTTCTAGACTCTAGAGAGACCGATTTTCTTTTCTTTTTTTGTAAAGATTTTTCCTTTTTTTTCTGGAGGTTCAGGTGTTTATACCGATCCTTCCGTACGTACACCCCCACACTAGAGTGAAGCAGATATAGCGGGAGTCGCTTAGATCCGTAGAGCCCTGAAAAGGCCAGCTAAGGAGGTGGTACACTGCTGCTTTAGAGGGAGTCCAACAATGGGGCATCAGGAGTGATGCATTTTCCAAGGGTTACTCCACTAAAAGCAGCTGTGGGTGGAGATAAAAGAGCTCTTTTATCCTTCTGTGCCATGTGGTGGGCTGGCATCCTGTTTGGGGTCTGCCCCTATTGTGCAAGACATGTTCCTCACTTAACACAAGTGAAATGGACACGGGGGATAATAGTGGGGGACCAGCTTCACTGTTAAATAACCTGCTAATGAGTGTTAATATGAGCTTCCTGGTACAGAAGACAGACATCTTTGCATTCAGGCTAAGCAAGTCCAGGTTGATCACCTGCCGAACTTTGGTTTGAAGTATCTGGATGAGTAAGATGGGCTGTGCCTTCCAGGCTTCTTCGGTTCCTGTGAGTGTGTGTTATAGATATGTGTTTATATCATTTGCGTTTGTGCGTTTGTGTTGAATGTCGGTTGTGCCTGTGTCACGCTGTAGCTTCAGACAGAAGTTGACTTGATGCTGCTCCACCTGCAGAGACACAGGAGTGGCTGGAGGAGTCTGAGTCTGAGTCGGGAGATGAGGAGGAGGAGGCTGGAGGTGGCGAATTGGAGGACGAAGAGTCCGATGAAGTGTCCGACGACATTGGTAGGTAGTGCTGACCAGCAGGGGGCGGCTGGCATTGGTCCCATTTACCCGTCCAGGTTAGGGAGCATGTGAGGGATAGAATTCTGAAGGCGTTTGGATTGGGAGCATTGTCAGTGTGCCCCTGCAGGCCTTGGCTGACTTGTGACTCGGTGTGCTCTGCATTCTGGCCCACAGGCATTTGCTGACCGCTGGCTCGGTGTGCTCTGCGCTCTGCCTCGCAGGTCTTTGCTGATCTGTGGCTCGGTGTGCTCTGCATACTGCCACACAGGCCATGGCTGAACTCTGGCTCGGTGTGCCCTGCATTCTTTCCTGCAAGTCTTTGCTGACCTGTGGCTCGGTGTGCTCTGCACTCTGTCCCGTCAGCTTTTGCTGACCTGTAACTCAGTGTGCTCTGCATTGTGCCCCGCAGGCCTTGGCTGACCTCTGGCTCGGTGTGCACTGCATTCTGCCCCACAGGCCTTTGCTGACCTCTGGCTCGGTGTGCTCTGCATTGTGCCCCGCAGGCCTTGGCTGACCTCTGGCTCAGTGTGCACTGCATTCTGCCCCACAGGCCTTTGCTGACCTCTGGCTCGGTGTGCCCTGTATTGTGCCCCGCAGGCCTTGGCTGACCTCTGGCTCGGTGTGCTCTGCATTCTGCCCCGCAGGCCTTGACTGACCTCTGGCTCAGTGTGCTCTGCATTGTGCCCCGCAGGCCTTGGCTGACCTCTGGCTCAGTGTGCTCTGCGCTCTGCCCCACAGGCCTTGGCTGACCTCTGGCTCAGTGTGCTCTGTATTGTGCCCCACAGGTCATCTTCACTGTCCTGTTCTGGCTGCTTAGCTCCTGCATCTATACATAGCACCATTCAGCTTTTACCCATTTGTAAAGCTGGATGTTGTCCTGCACCATTTTATTTTGTCTTGAGTAGCAGTACCAGGGAACCTGACAGTACAGCTTCTTGACACAACTCTGTCTTTTTACATGCAAGGTCTGGAACCATGGGTGTAGTGTCTATGTGATGTTGTGTTTTCTTGCAGGCAGATATGGTTTTAGCCATGACTGGGAAGTGGACTTGAAGTAGATTAGACCATTCCTTAGTCTCACCTTAGAACCATGGTAATGAGGCTATAGATCAGTTTCAGTTCGACAAGATCAAGGAGTGGTCTCACATGTGGTTATCTGAGGCACAAAACCATGAAGAATGGGATAATGTTTTATATTTGGTATGTAAAATAATATTTTAAATACCCGGAGAAGTATTTCATGTAACATGCAGTTTTTTTTTGGTGTGATGGGTTTTGAATTGGAGAATTTTGACTTTGTGATTGTGCTTCAGTCGCCCAGTGGCTGCAGAGAGCCTCCTAATCACAGAAAATATTTCTTACTCCCATCAGCTATGAAGAACGTGTGAAATCATGTTACGACCAGTGAAATCTGTCAAGAGGTTAATGCTGAAATTGCATCATAACCTGAACCTTATTATTTTAGAACAATGCAGATGGAGCTTGGGCTGCCTGGCTGCATTTGCACGCGTATCTTCCGTACGTGTGAGTGGTTTTGCACAGGCACCTTGACCCTTCTGTGATTTTTGGGATTCTGAATGAGCTGAACAGCCAGGACCCGCATTTTTTTCCCCCCCATTTCACAGGTGTACAATCTGTCTTTCAGTCATAAATCTGTCAGGGGTGGACACCACCTCCATCTGCTCATGTACCTGAGTGTGTAGACGTGTGCAGGGCTCTCGCTCCATCTGCCGTGGCCTCGTCCTCACGAGGATGCGTCCGTAAAATGTGCGGTGCTCTGGGATGTCATAGACGCAATTTTCCCTGCATCACTGGGTCGCCCGTGGCGGACAGGTGCAGCAACCTAAAAGATTCCTGATTTTAACTTGGAAGAAACAAATTGTTCTCCATAATGGTTCCTCTGCTCAAAATTCACTGAAGGATGAATTTTTATTCTGCTGTCTGTCTCCTCCTCTGCCACCTCATAAATAAGCTGGTAAACCAGGAGCTTTGTGTACAGCCTCTCCTGGTAGCAGTGGCTATAACATGGGCTTGTTGGGCGTTGGGTATGTTTTATAGCTTGTTGGCCACCAGGAGTTCTGCTGCTGACAGCGGGAGCTTCAGGAGCTACAGATGGAGGAAGACTGAGAAAGCAGTAGTAGTTGCGCTTGTCTGGCTGTCCGCAGTGGCAGCATACCTAAGCACAGCAGCAGAACCAGCAGTAGCAAAAATAGTAGCAGTGAAGTGGCAGTGCCACAACTGGCGGCACTGGCACGAGCATTGTTGCCAGTAGCGTTAGCAATAGCATTAGCAGTAGCTTTAGCAGCAGCATTAGCAGTTCCAGTTGTACCAGTCACACTGCCAGTAGGATCAGTCGGAGCAGAAGTAGCAGTTGTGCATACAGTTGATACAGCAGCAGTCTTTGCTTTATCAGCATTGTCCAGAAACAGGAGCATTGACAGTCTATCCTCTCTTTTAGAAGAGGAACATCCTCTGGTGAAATCTGGCGAGACGTTAGCCGACTTTCAGACCCGCACGGAAGCGTACTGGCTGCATCTGGCCCGGGCCAACATGGGTCCTGATGCCAAGGACAAAAAGGTGCTGAAGGTGGGACAGGCCATGGCGAAGGTATCCTACGAGGAGCAGGAGGGAGCAGCCCGGTCCTGACCTTCGTGGGATTGTGTGCCTGCATGTGTGTGTGAGCATATGCGTGAATGAGCTCATGTATTTGTGTTCCTCTTAGTATGCATGTACATTGTGAGCCCAGATCTGTAAATACTGACCCACAAAGAGGCCTCTATCTCTATCTTTGCCTGCTGTTTCTCTCTTTGGAAACGCATCATGTTGCTTTTTCTGTATTGTGTACTGGAGTGCATGTAGCCAGTCTGACACTAGTCTCTACTGTACAATAAAGTTTTTAGAAGGACTGGTAACTGCTTGTGCTCTGTCCTGATTGTGGGGAGGGGCCGGCTTTTATTTCAGCAGGAGTGCGGTTATGGACCTTTGAGTCGCCTCTTGCCGTTTCCTGAGCTACCTTTCTTCCCAATTCCTTCCTGTCGCAAATGGTACTTTCTTCATACTATTAGCAAGTGGAAGGGGATGGCAAATGAACCCATGTCCTTGGGTGGACTGCTTCCAGCACGGGAGAACGATGGAGGAGAAGAGTGAAGGGATGGAAAAAAGGGATGAATAATTGATGATGGGCTGGAAGATGGATGAGGTAGCTGTGGGCATGCTGGCAACATCCTTTGCCTTCTCTTCCCTTTCACTCCTTTCCTTTCCTTTCCTCTTTTTTCCTTTCCCATCCTATCCCTCCTTTACCTTCCCTATCTTTTCCTGTTCATTTCCTCTCCTTTCCCTTTATCTTTCCTATCCTTTCCCATCCATATCTTTTCCTATCCCTTTCTTCTCTTTTTCCCTTCCATCTTGTCCTATCCATTTCCTCTCCTTTCCTTACCCTTCCCTGTCTCTTCTCTCCTTTCCCATTCCTGTCTTTTCCTATCCCTTTCCTCTCCTTTCCCAATCCTTTCTTATCCACTTCCTGTCCTTTCCTTTCCCTATTTTCCCATCCCCTTCCTCACCTTTCCCATCCCCTTCCTTTTCTTTCCTATACCCTTTCCCATTTTTCTGGCTTTTTCGAACACATTAAAGAAAATTCTATTTATAAGAAGGCAGAATTTATAAATAACTGAAAAGGTACTTTTTTTTAGGAACAGGGGCTGTGAACGTCAAACGCACGTCAGTCGGGTCTCGGTGGGCTGTGTGTGCGGGCAGACGCATGCGTACGTGCGCGCCTGTGTGTGTGTGTGCGCTCGTGTGTGTGCGTGTGGACATGGTGCTGTGGGTAGATAGTTGAATCTGGCGATTAGGGTGTTGGCACTCCATCTCTGCGTTCTCCCAGCTGGTCCCCTCCTGTCAGCGTTGGTCACACGTGGAACCTCCCTCACCCTCACCAAGGCTTGTCACGGAGCCTCGTGCTGTTCCAGTCACTTCTGTTGTGTAATATTTCATTGGTGTCCCTTCCAGCAGCATCAGGCAGGTCTATAGAAGAGCTGTCGTAGAACAAGGCTATGCTAACGTACTGAAGCATAGTATTTTACTCATTTGTATAAAATGTTTATTGCCTATCATAGTTGTGCATTTTGAACAAACAGCTGTCTTGGTCTAACAGCCAGGCATCCATCATCCACCCGCTTATACAGAAAGCAGTGAATAGAAGCATTAAAAAACATAACCTTTCTGGCTTTCAGCTGGGATATCGAGTTCGTTCGGCCGCTGTTTGGTAAAAAGGCAGTGAACAGTAACAGAGTGGCGTCTGTGTGTTTTTGGGTAAGCCTGCCCACCCCCTCGGGTGAGATTCCACCCCCCTCCCCACAAGTGGGTTTAGTGAAACAGCATGTAACCCTCTTCATGGCTGGATGATGCTGAACTTGGGTAATGCGCGGTGATTTTATTACTGTAATCACTGTGGATCAAAGTGGTTTAGGGGCATCGGGAGCAATGGAGAACCGGGGGAGTTCCTCCCTAGGAGGAATGCAGGGTCATGCTCCCCCCCCAAGAGGTGAGTCTTCGGGGGGGGGGGGGTGCCTCTATCCTGTACAGTGGTGATGAGCACTCTTTCTCACACCACTCTAGCATGTCACAGATCAGCCTCTTTGCCCAGCTCTGTACACACAGAAGCCTTTAATACGCACCATCCAAGATGTCCCCCTCTTCACGGAATCTGATCTGGGATCAGATAATGTTCTCATGCTTTTCTTGATGTGCTATTGGCAGCTGAATGGGAAAATGGGGCAGTAACTTTCCTGTTATATGAATCATTTCACGCAATACAAAGACACATTTATTTATGAATGTTGATTTTGCATAAAAGTATTTTTTCTCAGACAGACGTGGCTGGTATTCACTCTGTATTCCTCTTCTCATTCTCTTCAGAGCAGACTCATCGAGCAGCGTGAGGTCTCAGGAGACAAACCCCACCCCCATTTGTCTGGCCCTGCCCCTCATGTGATGGAACACAATCCTGAATCAAGGTTTCCATGGTAGCGACCCACCCTTGTGGGCAAGGCTTAAAGACGCAGCATCTTTCCCTGTTCTGTTACTTCCCTTCGCCTCTGTTCTCTCGTTTGCTGAAAGCCACACACACACGCAGAAAATGTCTAAGGTTCTTTGTTTCTCAGCCCGACCTTTAACCCTAACTCTCCAGGAAATCAGTGAAAATGGAGCGCATTACCTTACAAGCTGCTGGTTGGTTAGTAATTTAGGTTGAGAAGACACAGGAATAACCACACAAGAACCGGGTACTTTCAAACACTTTCATTATTTTCTCCACATAATTCAAAACAAAACAAAGCCCCCAAAAATGAATAAAGTAATTAAAAAAAGAGAAAAGGAACAGGGCATGCTGGGGCATGCGATGATGTCACAGGGTGATGAATATTCCGGAGGGGGGGTGGGGTGGGGGGTGATGGTGTAAAAGTACAGGAGCAGATAGTTGTCGCTTCATCCATCTACCATCCCTTCAGTCCTGGGGTGTTCACGGGTGACTCGGGGAACTGAAGTGTGGCATGCGGACACTACTCAAGGAGTGTTTACCCAGCCTCTGTTCCTGCTCGGTGCCAAACGTAGTTTTTTTTTGCTAAATAGAGAGACAGGAGGATGGGGGAGATACACGGACTGTAGATGGTGCCAGCGGGGGAGCAGGAGATCTAAAGGGGAGCACAAGTCCCAAACACACATGCTATAAAAATGTGTCATCGACAGTCATTGTTCGGAAGCCAGCTATAAAAAATAAAAACACTTTTCTTATTTCTTTTTCTGTTTTTACGGCTGCAGATGGATGCAGTCCAGGCCACGAACACTCATTCGCATGGAAGAATCTGCTTTTTTTTAAATGCATGGACCCATTTGGGAAGGTTTGCAATAAATAGCATCTTGGCAAAGCCCAAAAAGATTAATCTTTACTTAGGGATGAACTTAAAACCGTTTTTTTTTTTTTTTTTTTGCAACCCTATACTGCTTCCAAAACTAGAAGAGATTTATTTTAAATATTTTATCTATACAAAACTAAAACATACGTGAGCATGCAATTTTTTACTCTTAAAAAACAAGGCAGTTGGCGTTTTTTCAGACGTCTTGCAAATAGCTAAAAAAATTTTTTTTTTCTTTTTTTCAGTAAATAAGTTGTTTTGAAAGCAGCGGTTGAAACGTAACAGTCTCTGAACTCTGCGTGGGCGTGGCAGCGTCGTTCACCCAGCGTGTCACTCCAACGTGTTGCGGCTTGCCGATTGGCTGAAACATTGTCTCATTATAATGCTGAGCGTAGAGTGGGTGGGGCCAACGGGCCTAGCTAAGTGGACGGACATGGGTGGGATGGGTGCAGTAGACTTTCACGAACTGCTACTCGCACGACCGCTGGGGCACAGGGAGATCAAACCACGAGGTGAGTGGGTGGATGGGCGGGGTGGGCGGGGGGCCCATGAGCATCTGCAGGGTGTCCAGCCATCATAGTGAGAAAATGTTCCCGGGTCTCTGTGTCTCCGTGCTGAAAGCACGCATCAGTGCAGCCCTTAGTCCTCAGCCTAGCCTTCTGTTGCATACGTTTAAAGTTTGTAGCCCTGTTTTAAGTGTCTTCCACGGTTACCCACTGATGCCCTCACATGCTTGCCATATTTCACTGGGGGGCATAATGTAGGAAAATCATTTTTATTGGGGGGGCCGTGATCCTTTAAGTTTGGTGGTAGGGTATATGGGGTTTGGGGGAAGGTGGGTTGTGGTGTTTTCTCTCTTTGGGTGGGGGGGGGGGGGGCACTCTGCCTGGAGGCGATGAGCCAGTAGTGGGCCAGCACTGGTCGGGGGTCTGCAGGGAATCACAGGGGTGAGTGGAAGGTGACGTGGATGCCAGTGACGTGGATGTTGGTGCCGCAGCATGAAAGCGCTGAACAGGCCCATGCCTGCCGCTGCTAAGGGCGTGTTCACCTCTCAGCGGAACTGAGCCGAAAAGTGACAAATGAAAAAAAGAAGAAAAAGGAAAAACAAAACACCCACATCATCAGCAGAGCAAACAGGCAGGTAAGGAAGGGCTCGAACAAGAACAGCGAGTAGCATAGTATCATTAGTGACTTATAGTGAATCCCAACTTAGGAGGAATGCAGGCTCTGGAATGGTGAGGTGGGGGGGGAGGGGGCGGGGAGCTGAGCGAGAATTCTGCTGTGTCCAGGTTTTAATGGCAGGAGCTTCCTAGGTATGCCGTCTTCTTCGAGTTTATTTTTAGCGTCTTATTCGTTATAGAAGTATTTGTCATCAAAACGGGCAACGGGTGAATAGTCATGATAATATTCATATCAATTCATAATAATAGTATAGATAATAAGAATAATTAATAGGCAATACATTGTTTAAATAAAAAAGTGAATAAACAAAATGGCAACTCCGATGTTGAGCAAAATCACCATGACAACCAGAATCGAGCTGGAGCCCTGTGTGGGGGAGAGAGAGAGGGGGAGGGAGAAGGAGAGTGTTAGTGCGCCCGCTGTCCTCCCCCAGTGCATCACACACACTCACTGGCACACCTCTTCCCTCACATCACACGTTCAGCTGGGCACTGCTCCTGCCTGGCCACAAGCGATCACCGCGGCAACGCGTGGCTGCCCCCGCGGTTCCCCTGCTCCCACTCAGGCCAGGCACTCGGCACATGACTGCCGCTCAGCTCTCCTCGAGGAGAGGCCTGGCAGCTCATCCCTGGGAGTCCCATTGCCCATGTGCATCTGTATGTCCCTCATCACCACCCTTTGTTACACTATTCCTAGCCTCCAAGAACACAGGTGGGATGGGGAAGGACTGGGTGTGGCTGAGCTGGGGTGGGGTAGAGTTGGGCAGGGTGAGGTAGTGCTGTACAGGGTGGGGTGGGGCAAAGCTGGGCAGGTTGGGGTGGTGTGGGGTGGAGCGGTGCTGGGTGGGATGGGGCTGAGCTTGATGGAGTGGGACTGGACAGGGCGTCACAGCTGGACAGAGAACAGCCATGGCCGCCTTGCTCTATCCTAGGAAATTCAGCCTAACTTGGCAGATGCCAGGTCTTCCCCAGGGCTCTCCCCTGTTAGGGGGCCTGGCCTGTATGGCTGAGAATCCCAGGTTTCCCTGATAACCTCGCCATTCTGCTGGCTGTGATGGGAAAACCCAGGATCCCAGGGAATGCCCAGAGACTGGTCTGCCTGGAGTGACCTCATGTCACCATTGCAGCAGGGCTAACCCACACACAACGACCAGCACAATGACCAGCACAGTGACCTGACATGAACACAGGAGAACAGCCTGTGCGACTATGTGTGTGAGTGACTGATATATGTGTATGGTATGTTAATTTGTGTAAAAGCTTGTATGTGTAATAATTGGGCCTGTATGTCCATACGATATGTGGATCTGCGTGTGTGTGTGAAATGTGTGTGTGATATGTGAACCTGCATGTGTCAAATGTGTGTGTGATATGTGGATCTACATGTGTGTGTGATATGTGGATCTACATGTGTGTGAAATGTGAACCTATGTGTGTGTGATATGTGGACCTGCGTGTGTGTGATATGTGGACCTGCGTGTGTGTGATATGTGGACCTGCGTGTGTGTGATATGT